TTACTCCGTAGTGTATGAGTGTGGATGAGAAAATGAAGACTGCAAACACCATTGCCAGAAAGAGTACAAACAACTCTGTCATATTTCATTCAATTCATAATGAGAGATTGTGGAATTCAATTTAAGGTTAGATTTTTGTGAATTGTTTAAATGAAAGACAAAGGATACTGCATTTTTGTCAAGGCTACTAACAATTCTGATCGCAGCTGTTTGTCTGTATATATATTTAAAATATTATATTTATAAATAGCCACATGTGTGCCACAGTGAAAGATATTCCCCCTCGTTCTCTTCAACCCCTGATAAAGTGGAGATTCGCATACCCCGGTTACTCATGATGTAGGCGATGAAAAATGGATGACATTAACAAGTGTTACAGTACAATCAATTTATCTTATCTGAATAGAACAGCTACAGTATGCTGAAGGAATCAGAATATGGGCGTTTATTAATGGCCTTCAGGCCCAGATATATAAATAGGAGAGAGATAACAGGGCATATACATCACGCTGACATCTCAGCCACACGTCCACACACATCGCTGAGAAATGACAGTGTGTCATTTTGAGCGATTGCAGGCCAAAACGCAAGAATCACATAACATTTCTAATGTTGAGGAGCCGCTCTATCATTCAGGATGACTACAATCAAAGTCTGTTTCCATACAGGCGACTTATGTGTCGAATGGGAAATTCGTGTGAAAATGTCACACCTGGACTCCACCATCCAATTCAGGTCAACAACTACTTCGACAGAAAAGATGTGCTACTGCAATAATCGGTTTTAACAACATTGTCAAAACATTGCAGTTTGTTTGAGTATCCCAAACAGCCTAGCAAATTAACATTATTGAATCTTTTTAAGCTTGTCTGCTTTCAGTGACTTCGAAATGTAGTCGAAAATGTATCTGACTGGATTGCTTTTGTAGTTTAGATGCTTATGTAGTCAAACACAATCGAACAGCCACAAAAGGCTGTACAATATTTGCAGTCTTACATAGTTTGAGTGTCCCAAACAGCCTAACACATTAACATTAGCTATTTATTAACCATGTATTAAGATGAGGCCTGAAACTTTAAGCTTGTCTGCTTTTAGCGACTTCTAAATGTAGTCAAAAATGTATGTTTAGATGTACCACAAAACCAACTCTCAGCCTATTGACCTATTCTTAGACAAAATTGGGTCTTTGAAACATCTATGCAGTCTTATATTTGGTTAGAATGTAAAAAATAAAAATGATATGCTGTTTTTTTTAGGAGTATCCCAAACAGCCTAACACATATACATTACCTCTTCATTCACCTTGTAATAAGATGCATTTTATTAATCTGTCACAAATGGACAATGCTAAATACAGGTGCAAAAATAAGGTCTGAATTTGTTCCGTTTCAGCATTGAAAATGTATCCGACTGGATTGCTTTTGTAGTTTAGATGCTTATGTAGTCAAACACAATCGAACAGCCACAAAAGGCTACCAACTCTCAGCCTATTGACAAATTCTTAAACAAAATGAATGTCTTTGAAATGTCTATGCGGTCTGATATTTGGTTAGAATGTAAAAAATATACAATATTTGCAGTCTTACTTAGTTTGAGTGTCCCAAACAGCCTAACACATTAACATTAGCTATTTATTAACCATGTATTAAGATGAGGCCTGAAACTTTAAGCTTGTCTGCTTTTAGCGACTTCTAAATGTAGTCAAAAATGTATGTTTAGATGTACCACAAAAGTCTACCAACTCTCAACCTATTGACCTATTCTTAGACAAAATGGGATGGGTCTTTGAAACGTCTATGCAGTTTTATTTTTGGTTAGAATGTAAAAAATAAAAATGATGGGCTGTTTTTTTTTTGTTTGAGTATCCCGAACAGCCTAACACATATACATTACCTCTTCATTCACCTTGTAATAAGATGCATTTTATTAATCTGTCACAAATGGACAATGCTAAATACAGGTGCAAAAATAAGGTCTGAATTTGTTCCGTTTCAGCATTGAAAATGTATCAGACTGGATTGCTTTTGTAGTTTAGATGCTTATGTAGTAAAACGTATTCGAACAGCCACAAAAGACCATCAACTCTCATTTGGTAAGAATGTAAAAAATTTACAAAGGTCAATGTTTTCTTGCAAGACATGACTCTAATGCAAAACCATATTGTACACTGTAGTTTTGAGTACGAACGACAGCTGCTGCTCACTTTGTCGTTTTGTGTAATAGTCTAGTGTAGGTCTATTGTTAAATATTAATTGCATTAATGATAAAATATTTGACGACTCATTTACTAAAGGTGGCTGTGTTTATAATAGAAACGTACAATAGCCATGTCTTCATTCAAAGATGAAAATTAATCTAGTGCGAAAAAACAGGTGCTAAATATCAAAAAATGAAAATAGGATTTTCCGTGGTATAAGAAGCTACTGTAGGCATTTAAAAAAATTAATAAATACTTACGCAATTAATGTATGGTGGATTTGGAGGTGTAAGACCGCTTTTTGGAAGTACAGCCACTCAAGAGGTAAGAATACCAAACTACTTTTGATTATGGCTAAGGCATTTTAGAATGGCCACAACATTTCATGTTATTTTATTTCATTTTATGTCTGCTGGTTTGTCTATTAATGCAATCCCATCACTCTTATTTTTGTCTTTGCATGAACTGTTCAACAAAATCGCATGACTTTTTGATGTGCATACTGGAATTTATTTGGTAAAAATGTTTTCATCACAGCTTTTGAACACTTTATATTGTCTGACATAAAAGTGTACCCTGCTCAGTATTTATATTACTCCATGTCCTACTACTAAAGCATTTTCAAAACTGATGTGCATCTTAGCATTTCTATTAGGCTTTTTTATGCAATATTACAAAGTAGGTGGATAGAAGCAAAGCTAAAGATGACAATGTTTTGCTTAAAATTACCACAGACAAAGCAAAAGAACATCATCTGCAAAACTTGAAATGGCATGCACAAATTTACTACGGAGCAATTACTTTGTGAAATCAAATATAAGTGTCACTATCCTTTGACAGTGAATCTTCTGAATAATCAGTCAGTGATCAAAATTCTGATTTTGAAGACATGGAAGAGACTGCAAATATGAGCCAGAGCCTGAATGTACCGGGTAAGTGCACTTTGACAATAATGTTGATAGCAAAATCATCAGCTCAAAATATTCCCATCATGGCTCTAATAAATAATGATCCTTTTATTCTGTTCTTTAGTGACTGTATTTAAAATACCAGGAGAGCTGTATGCTATTGGAGCCACCCATGTTTGACAAATAGGCCCGGGTCACTAAGACCCACCTGTGTAATAGTGATTGGGGAAACATTCATGCATTTAAAGGGGGCCTATTATGCCATTGTTTACAAGATGTAAATCTGATGATGGAAGTCTCTGAAATCCCTAAGGTGTGTGAAGTTTCAGCTCAAATTACCCGACAATGCCTGATACCCGATGTGCTTTGAAATGTGCATTTTTTTTATTTTATTTTTTTATGTTTGACAGAATCCCAACCGAAACATGAAGAGAGGGTGGGAAAGAGTAGCTACTCTTCTTTTTTTTAAAACAGCCAATAGTGTACCAGTGAGAGTGGTTGAGGTAAAAAGTAATTATGCTTTATTCTGTTCTTTAGTGACTGTATTTAAAATACCAGGAGAGTTGTGTGCTATTGCAGCCACTTATGTTTGATATATAGGCCCAGGTCACTAAAGACCCACATGTGGAATAGTGATCGGGGAAACATTCATGCTTTTAAAGGGGACCTATAATGCCACTGTTTACAAGATGTAAATCTGATGTTATAAGTCTCTGAAATCCCTAAGGTGTGTATGTCAAGTTTCAGCTCAAATTACCCGACAAATTGTTTTTTATAACCGTTTGAAATGCCCTCTTTTCTGCTTTGATCCAAAAAGTGCTGTTTTGGTGATTGTCACTTTAAATTCAAATGAGATTGTGCTCTAGACCACTTGTTAAAAGAGGGCAGAGCTACAAATGCCTGTGCATCAACAGTATTAGGGAGAGATCGTCACTAATGGATAGGTCTTTTCCCTTCTGATGACATCTAAAAAGGTAGAATGTCAATCAAAGTGTTTCTGCTGACTGTTTTTATTAAGTGTGACTATAAAAAATAAATTTATTTAATGCTTACCATTAGATGCTGGCTATATTCACACACTGTTGCAACACAACTGTGTTCAAACCACTTATAAAAGTCATTTTTGCATAATAGGTCCCCTGATGTGCTTTAAAATGTGCTTTTTTTTTCGATGTTTGACAGAATCTTAACAGAAACGTGAACAGAGGGTGGGACATAGAGTAGCTCCTCCCCTTTAAAAAAACAGCCAATAGTGTCCCAGTGAGAGTGGTTGAGCTCAACTGCATCAAATGTAAAGTGTCTTGAAGGGGGCAGTGCATGTCGGATACTAAAGAGCATTCGATTGGTCATCTGATGAGAAACTGAACTATGAGATGGCGTGAATAAAGCCATTAATATATTTAAGCAGAAGTGACAAACTACAAGCTTTACATGTTTACGTTAGCTTTGTATATTCTAAACATGAATTTTGTCACTGTTTTGGTGTGCACTAGCTTGTAGATATCATATAAAACTAGCAATACTGATACTAACATCTAAAAAAATTATTTTAATATTATAGGACCTTTAAGAGCTAATACCAGATGTAAGTAGGGGTGTCAATTCAACCAAAGGCATGAGTTTGTAAATCTATTTCTCAAACTATAAGAGACAGAACAGTGCTTTTGCAATTATCCAATTTGGTGGCACCATCGGTAAAGAAAGTGCACACTTCAGCACATTTAAAAAAGACACAAAAAGAATTAAACCGGGGACAAAAAATATCTACATTATGTCTAAAAGTGCTTTCTTTTAACAATGCTGAGCAGTCTCTTCACACCACCCTCATAAGCGCATGCAAATCGATGAGGCACAAGTAACCAGCCACCATTACGGATTCTCTCTTGGCCACTCACCGTGTATGTGATCACTGCCAGCATGCCAATCAAGGTGAGCGAGCTGATGGAGAACGACAGGGCGGCCAGGCCATCTGCAAGACAGAGGGGAAATTTATTTATGACACGGGCCAAATGCAGAGCTCTGTTAAGTTTTGGTCGGACGCCAGATATTCAGAGCAGTTCTTGCCCCCCAGGGAAATTTCTCAATGCACCTCATCTTCTCTCCTCTCTCACTATCATTTCTCTCAACCTCCTCTTGCTCTGACATAGTTATTGAAAGGTCAGCAAAGTTTTTGCCCTGCACATTTTAATAGTCACAATGACATGTCTGAAATATAAAGGACATTCAGTCAGGTTCTGCAACATAAACATGGCTTTATTTAGTAGACAGAATCAATAGCAGTCAAATCTCTCAATTCTCAATACTGCATAAAAAGCTGATATTGCTACTGAACTTGTAGTGTTTTACCCTGTAGTCATTCCAAACCTGAATAGAACATGGACAGGTTATTAAGTAAGACTGGATTTTTATTTTGGGGAATCATTTGTGCACTACTTTATTATTACTATTAGTAGATCTAGTAGTTAGGAATGTACAATATATCGTTGATATCGCAATGTGATCATTCGCAATAGTCACATCGCAGAATATGCAATGCTGACTTTGTATTATAGATGATAATTGGAGGTTTTTGTGATTTTAAAATCGGGCATTAGAAATTGTTCCATTTGTAACTTTAATAAGGATTCATTTTATTGAATTAACTTTATTTTTAGAATTATAGATTACTGTACCTGAATACTGTTACACTAGCAATGCAATAAAACCCTGTTTTTCTTTATGTATTGTATTGATCTGTGCTTGTGGATTGTTTATTAGATTATTTGCTGAGGCTCTCCCCTACAGAATAATCCCAATTTGGTGAAATTGTATTTTTATCACAATGTATATATATATATATATATATATATATATATATATATATATATATATATATATATATATATATATATATATATATATATATATATATATATATATATATATATATAGCAGAATAACAAAACATTGCAATGTTATATTTTTCAATATCATTCAGCCCTAGTTGTAGTTGTAGTAGTAGTAGTAACAATAATATTATATAATAAATAACAGATTGAAATTGTGAAAGTGTTTCAAAAACTTAATTTCATACAGGTTTCTTTTTTACAATTCTGAAGTTATTAATTAGATAAATAAGCTGTAATAATAGAATAAACAAATGGCAATTAATACATTAAAATGTAAACCTATAGTTTATTCATAAACCTATAAATACAATTAAAGCAAAAATTTAAAATTTATAAGTGGTTATAGGTGACGTGGTGGCACAGTGGGTAGCGCTGTCAGTTGGAGTTTGCATGTTCCCCCCGCGTTCGAGTGAGTTTCCTCCAGGTGCTCCTGTTTCCCCCACAAGTCCAAAGACATGGGCTATAGATGAACTGGGTTAGCTAACATTGTCTATAGCATATGTTTATGTGTAATTGAGTGTGTATGGGTGATTCCTAGTGGTAGGTTGCGACTGGAAGGGCATCAGCTGTGTAAAACATATGCTGGATTGGTTGGCGGTTCATTACGCTGTTGCAACGCGACGTCAGATTAATAAAGGGATTAAGCTGAAAAGAAAATGAATGAATGAATGAATGAATGAATAAGTGATTGTATACAACTTTGGTACATTTTAAGTAAATAAAAACATCTAGCTGATAACTGATTAAAACTTGCAAATTTAAAGATAAGAGAATGAATTGATAATTTTAATCATTTATAATTTAATATTACATTATCATAATTATTTATTAATTATTATTATGCTGAAACTGACAATAAATGCAATTTATAAAAAAAGAATTACATATTGGGATTATACAATGTGTGGTTTAAAAGAAATAAAAAGGTAATATTGACTTGCAATTATTCCTTGAAAGGTTATAGGTTCACCAAAACTTGATAGCAAAACAACCAGACAGCGCCATCTGTCAGCTGATTCAGGGAACTATCTATATTTAACAAACCTGTTTCTGTTTTGTTGTATTATGTGGTGGGAGGAGGGGTGGGTTGTTGGCTGTAAAAAGAAGCTCTTATTCAAAATAAGGTGCTATGTTTCTTACTTTTTATTTTCAGACTTAGTAACTAACAAAGCATATTTGACATTTTGTGAATCACTAACGTTGAGAGCTCTTTTCCTCTGGTTCTGAGCTCTGGCCCAGCGGAGCAAAACACAGCATCCTGGCAGCCCCGCGTCCAGAAAGCCCCCTTCTGCCCACCCCAATTCAATGCAACCCACTGTTCTCTGTTTATTTTCCTCCTCAGGAGCCGCTTTACATCGCTCACAAAGTAACTTCTTTCCATTTTGTCGAACCGCGTGAAGCCTGAGGACTGTTTGCTGCGCCACCCAGCACGCTCCACGCTCAGAAAAAGCCCCAAGACACAAAAAGCAAAACGAGAAGAAATGAAGATGATTACGCTCCTGCCTCCTAATGTAGCAAACGGAAGAATATGAAAAGAAGAAGCTCTTTGATGTCTGATGGCTGAAACGAGCATTTACATCTGAATAGGTGTTTCCCTTTGTGATGTCGCCGCTTTTGTTAAGTGGGGAAGGCGCGAAGCCGGAGACAATGGCGTTCGTGTTTGGTGCGGAAAAGCGGCTCTGTTTATGAACTCCTCACAATGCAGGGGGGACCTGCGTTTTTTTTTCCCGTCGCTTCCCCGGAAGACTTTCTAAGGGATTGGACAGAGAATATATTGTTTATTATCTGCGGCGGCTCCACAGCTGCTCTCGCGGCTGATTCCTGAGCTCTCTGAGAGAGTGGAGGCCCTTATCTCGACATGCACGGAGCACCGCGGGCTTATGGAGACCGCTGCCACTGAGAAGTGTATATTAAAGAGCTCTTAGCTGAGGTATTCACAACATGAGCTCGCTATGATAACCTCGTGGAGATGGAAAGCAGCTTGCTGAAGCCAACCCACTCAGTGGATTCTGGATGACGGAGAAAGAGAAGACGCTGCGCTGCTCTCACGCAGTTATAGGCAGAAATATTATCTTATTATTACCACAAACCACGGTGACGATGCACTACTGAAGAGCTTCTTAAGTGGTCTGATTGAGAGAGACTTTAAAAACGCTTGCAACTTGGCCAGATGTTAGACTTATTTTTTATGAAATATGCAGCTATTTAGTATGTAGAGTAACTGGAAAGTCACAAACATTGTTTCAATATGCAGCATTACACATATACAATTTCAGCAATCTTAGAGATTTGACATTACATTATTTCAATTTAAAAATTTGTTTTTTACTGTTCAAAATTGTTGATTCTTTTACAAGAAAAAGATAGACAGACATACAGACAATATATAAACAGAGAGACAGACAGATAAACAGACGTATGGACATATAGATAGGCAGACAGATAGATGGATGTACAGACACAGATAGATGGATAGATAAATCGGTAGATAGATCGATAGATAGATAGATAGAAAGACGGACGATGCATAGGCAGAGACAATATATAAACGAACAAATAGAGAGACAGACAGATACTCTCTCAGAAATAAAGGTATGCGAACTGTCACAGAGGTGTAACCTTTTTACAGGGTACACATTGGTACCTCAAAAGTATATATTAGTACCTACAAATTTCAAGAGGAACACTTTTCTACTTTTTAGGTAGTAATATGTACCCTTGAGGTATTAAGATAAAACAGTGACAGCTCGCGAACCTTTATTTCTTAGATTGTAGAGTGACTGACAGAAAATACCTAAACAGACAAACAGAGAGACAAAGAAAAAGACAGATAGACGGATCTCAGACCTAAGCTTGATAATCAAAATGTCATAATGTAAAGTATGAACAAATTATATTCATATTTGTTATACATAAAAGTAAAATTACCACAAAGTTTCTATTTCAGTCAGGCTTCAACCTTTTTTTTTCTAATTCTACACAATTTAATCAAAAAATAAAAAAGAAAATTTAAAAAAGAAAAGAGAACGGGCATGTATGTATAACTCAGGAGCATTTTCTGAGGTTGTGGGTAAAAGGTAGTAATGCACCTTGTCATCAGAAGCCATAATTTAGTGTAATATAGACCTTTTTCTTGGCTGCTGCATGGAGGGCGCCATAGTGACCTGCGTCTTCCGGGAGAATGGTTAGAACTTCCATTTACATCGTTTACAATAGGTAATTTGTGCTCCGATAATGGGTTTTAATCGCGTTTTTAATGGATTATGGAGTGTTTTTGTGACACAACTTAGACATGTGTATGTTAAAGCCGTTATGTGTCAGATGTGGTTTAAGCACGAGAGAAAAACGTTCTCCTAGTTCACGTGTCTGCTGTCAGAAACACAGTGTGTGTTTCCCCGGCCTGTCATCTGTTAGCTCAGTGGCTCTTCAACACACACACGCGTGCAATACTTCACAGCATTATAGAGCAAACCAGATTACTGTCATGAAACTTAACAGATTTGTAAGTCATGCAATTTACAAAAAGTCTGTTACTGATACTCTGCGGGCTGATTTGGTGATCATTCTTATCACGAGCCCTTTACATTTCACTTAGTGTATTGTATTCACCACGGTTTGTGTTTTTCTGTCATTTCGAAATAACTATAGCCTATATTTTCACTTTGACACAGTTATTAAATCAGTGGGACAGTACAGTAGGCTACGTGTGTCAAACATTTTGGACAATTACATTTGTTTGGGTTGGTTATATATTTGAAAGAAAGAGAAACTGTTGACGTTAGCGATGACGAGGCTTCATTTAAATGGCACAAGATGCCGTTTGACAACGAGGGAAAAATGCCTCACAAGCAGTTGTTTTTCCATGCTATTAGATCACATTTTTTAAAATGCTCAGTCCAGGAGGTGGCGCTGAACAACAACAGTATTAGTTCAAAGATGATAAAAGCAGATAAAATAGATCAAAACTATCATTTCAAAGCTGTCCAAATGTGACTGTTTATACGCATCAGCTGCCAACCGGAAGTTCTTAGCATTCTCCTTGCGCATACACACAAAGCATAATGGGTAATTTTGCGTTCTA